AGCGCAGATAGCCCTCGTGTAGCTTTGCGCGAAATTCCAAAAAACAAACAAAAAAACAATACAAATCCTGGTAACCTTGACTGCTTTGTAACTTTTATAAATTTTTACAAACGTTTTTAAAACCAAAAGAAAACAATAATAATAAAAAATTATGAATACTTTTTTATTTTTTTAGAAAATCATAAAATTTACACCTTGTTATGAGTACTTCAGTTTGTTTGTTTGTTTGGAATTAAGCACAAAGCTACACAATAGTCTATCTGTGCTCTGCCCACCACGGGTATCGAAACCTGGTTGCCAGCGTTGTAAGTCCAATGACATACCGCTGTGCCACTGGCGGGGGGGGGGCTCCCTATTCAGCTTGTTTGTTGTGTTTAAGTGTTGAAGTTTCTATTTTACCACTGAGCCACCGGAGGGCAACATTATCTATTTAAATTTGTACGATACAAGTTAAAGACAAATGTTTTTTATAATTACCACTTGTTAGTTAAATTTCAGAACTTTTTTTTTAATTAGAATTGAAACTTTTTCTTGAACCCACACTCTACAAAATATCGTGCTTACGATAAGTTGTATTCATTTCAAAATTCAAATCAGGGGTAACTAAAATGTGTCAATTAATATTATTATTCCAATTTTGTTGCAGTATTTTCTATAAAATTTCAACAAGAAGGTCTTAAACTATTAAAGGTAGAACTATTTGACAGTTTCACATTATATTGGTCCCCCAGTGGGTCAGCGATAAGTTTATGGACTTACAAAGCTAAAATACGGGATTCGATTCCCATAGTGTATAAAAACAAACAAACACATTCTAGTTATCGTAACTAATATAAATAAGCTTCTAATTCATTGAGTCTAAGTATTATAAATATCAAACAAGAACACAATCTTAAAGGTTACGGAGTTATTGTTAAAACAACCAACGAATATAACAATCTTCATAGATCAGTAAAACATTTTTGTGTTTTTATAAATCACCTAAAAAGGAATTATATGTAATGAAGCCATTCAAAATGCACTACTATTTCATATTTTGCTTTGGAATTTTCCAAAACTCTTGTATGATGTTTGGTACTATTTTTATATTCTATAATTTCAATATGATATTTGCTCCTGTATTCTAGTTAAGATTCACTGTTTGATCCCAGTGCTTCATCCTAAAGAATGTAGGAATAATTTCCTGAATCAACCAAAACAGTAGTCTTGCGGCCAAAAGAACTTTTCTCTTTACATAGTTTGTCCATTATGAATGAAATATCCATGCATATTACTCTTCTCCAGAATTAAAAATGGTAAATATTTATCTTTATATACATTATATACTTCTAGAACAGGTCTCAAATTTTTCATTCATCAGTTTTATCTACCTTTGATTCTAGAACCATATGAACTTTTCAAGAAAATTTCACATTTTTAGCACCCCCATCTTTGTCTAGAAATAATAATAATTTGTGGCGCTAGTATCTTTTTCTTAATAAAATGTTTGTTTGCTTGAAATTAAGCACAAAGCTACACAAAGGGCTATCTGTGTATCGAAACCCGGTTTCTAGCATTGTAAGTCCACAGACATACCGCTGTGCTACTGGGGGGGGGGGGCTTAGTGAAATGAATGTTTAGAGAAAAGTTCAGTGTTATCACTTTTGCATAGTTTGATTGTCAAAAACATAAGTTCTGCTTTTAATTGACTTTCAGAATAACCTGTATTTCGCCATTATTTACCACCAAGCGAAACAAATCCAAAAATAATAAGCAGGCCAGTGCAATAGCGAATGCTTGATACTTGATACACGTTATAATGTATTTATTTTAAAATCAATTACTTATTAAAAGTATTCATTTTTACTTTTAATTACCTTTACTCATCAATCATAGGAACGGATGAACTAGCAACCTAATCCGCTTGCCCTTCCTATATCTCTCACAATTTTATGATATATGTATGTATATATTAATTCTAGCGCCAGCAGCATGAAGCAATGAATTCAATCTGCGACTGCTTAGCCGTGGTATTTTCTTTAACGTTGTAAATAAATACAGGTTATTGAAAGAATTCCAAAATCGATTAATAAAAATTAAAAATAATGTCCTTCCCTTCATCCATCTCTCATTTCCAGAGTTAATTTCGTATAGCTCAGCTTAGAATGGGAGTGCCATCCGGTTTGACTCTGCTTCCAGCTCATTTTAACACATTTGTCATACTTAAAGGTAACGCAGTTTCCAATCCCATGTAACCTACTCGATAATGTGTGTAATCTCAGCAATATCCTGATCTGCACATTACTTCCATGTATGACTCACTACCCTTTGAAGGTCTTGTTAAACAGTAGTGATTTCAGTGTAAATGTCTTGGGTTGATGTTACACAAAAATACGTGAAATTCATCCAGAAACGCGTGATCGAAAACAAAAGCCAAAAATTCTGCCTTAGCTCAAACGGTATCATTGACGTTAGCTCCTAATTCAGCTACAAAAATCATAAATTATTTAAAATGAACAAAATGTGATGTGGTCAATCAAAAGATTTACAGCACATGAATACAGTGGTGCAACATTAGTATTGCCAAGTTGCTTTATTGTGTAGTGCTTATGAGATATCACTTACTGTTTGACCTAAAATATAATTTTTGCTATTTTTTTCCACTCAAGCATTTATAGATGGGTTCTCTTTCCTAATGGATCCCATTGCTTGTGTGTTTAGGATAATCACGTCCAGCTACACTAGAGTTATCTGCGTTAGTCGTCCCCAGTTTGGAGTTATTAGACTAGAAGGATGTAAGGTAATTAACAAACACCACCAACTGTTGGGCGAGTCTAATGAAATAGTGAGATTTTATCGTCACTCTTATAACGTATCCATGAAGCGCAATTTTCTAGGCAACGGAACGCAAACAATAAACATTCCGATTCATAGTCAGGATCGTTAGCCACACCCGTCCTGGATCCCATTCATATATAGGTGACAATTATAAGCCAGTAAGTATTGACTTAATAATTAATGAACAGGGAATAATTGTTATTGGATGACTGAGTGCCTGTGAGTACCTCTTTGCCATTTCTCGAATAGTGTAAGGTATCAACAAATATCTAATATATTTAGTAGTTCACTAAAGAAAGGCGACTGGGCAAAAATAGAAAAATAAATTATGGAGTAAGCCAAACATGTTTGTTTTAACTAAATTCATTGTTTCACAAACGAACTGTTTCATTATCATACAAGTAATGACGATTAGTGTTAAGGTCCATGCATTATC